TTGTATTTGATCGTGAGAGAATGTTTCATTATTTTTTAGAAGAGCCTGCTTTACGTGATCTAAAAATTTGGCGTATATCCACGTTTTTTTACATTTAATGCCCATGAATATTGAGGGTGAAAATGGAATAGCTTCGCTTTATATTTCGAACTGCAATTGCAAAATCTTTTTGGCTACCTTAGCTATGCAACAATTATCGATCCAGAGACAGTTTTTCATTCGCTGTCAATATTAAATATCTGTTCTCTTTTCCTTTCGTAATTACAGCTAATTCGACGTACAACAGCCAGTTCCTTACCAATCAGGACATTGGCAACGAGTTGGCCATATTGATATTGGGCAACTCGTTCTCGGGCTGCCTGCTGGACGGACCTGGACTGCAATTCGTGAAYGCCTCCAAGCAGAATGCCGTGTTCGGGGTCTGTCCGCTGTCGTATGGGCCGTGCAGCGAGCACGAGACATTTACACGGCTGCAGGATAACTATTGCCTGAACGATCCCTGCATGGGCCATGGCACCTGCACCTCGAATGCCGATGGCTACGAGTGCCGCTGCACGGCCCGCTATTCGGGCAAAAACTGCCAGAAGGACAACGGATCGCCGTGTGCCAAGAATCCCTGCAACAACGGCGGCACCTGCCGCGAGAACTCACGGGGCGACTATCAATGCGTGTGCCATGCGAATCACAGTGGAGAGCACTGCGAGACGGAGGTGAACATCCATCCGCTTTGCCAGTCGAATCCCTGTTTGAATAACGGCGCCTGCGTTGTGCTGAGCGGCAGCTCCAGCCCCACCTGCGAGTGTGCGAAGGGCTTTACGGGGTCGCGCTGCGAAATCGACATGGACGAGTGTGCCTCGCAGCCCTGCCAGAACAACGGCAGCTGCATCGATAGCGTCAATGGATTCAGCTGCGACTGCACCAACACCGGCTACGTCGGCGCCTTCTGCCAGACGAACATCGACGAGTGCGAGGACAATCCGTGCCTGAACGGCGGCCGTTGCTTCGATACGTACGGCAGCTACACCTGCCAGTGCCAGGACGGCTGGCACGGCGACATCTGCGACAAGCCCATCAGCTGCCAGACGCAGCAGTGCCTCAACGGCGGCACCTGCGTCGACAAGGCCATCGGCTTCCAGTGCATCTGTGCGCCCGAGTACAGCGGAGAGCTCTGCCAGCTGGGTCCCAGCTGTGCCCAGCAGTGTCCCATCGATTCGGAGTGTGTTGGCGGCGTGTGTATGTGTAAGCCAGGAACTTCGGGTGAGTACTTAAAGGCTCCTTCTATGCCTCCTTATGGGTTCAATGGTTCATGGTGTGGCGCATGTAATTGCTTAGTTTGGGGCTTAGCCAGCGTGGGTTTTATAATGATTATAAATATTGTATATCTCCCTCTCTATATCTCTCTCTGTACACTTTTTAATCTAACAAAAGCTTCCACTTTGGAGCTGCCAACTTCTCTTGAATTGGCCTTGGCCTTGCATGGTAGGTCAGAGGGTGTGGGCGAGGGTGATGGCGAGGGCGAGAGCGAAGGAGAATTGAGCGCGCTGTGCGCCAGCGGCAAGAAGAAGCGTTACATATCACCCGAGTGGCTGAAGCGCAAGCGTTGTGAACTCAAATTAAGTAGGTCTATAGTAGAGTTGTAAAGAAACCCAGCCACAGTTATAGAGCTTGCTGCAATATTTATTTAYAWATATGAATAYRTATAATATCGTAGTGTAAAGGAATTGCTAGCTAAATTCTCATTTGTAATATTTTAATAATAAACTCTATCATATCACATCGTTTAGAATTGAATAATGAAATGAATGAAAATATAGATCATATCATAATTAATCTTTAAAAATATTAATTCGTACAAACTAAAAGAAAGTCATTCATTGTTATAAAGCAAACATATCAAACAGACTTGCCAATTTGAACATTGCAAGGTGTACATAAAATATATATATAGAAAATAGGTATAGAATCCGAACTCGAAGTTAGTTCATGGGCTAGAAACTGATTGATGTCATCAACATTTAGCTTTTAAAATATTTAACAAAAGTTTTTTTGAAATGCTTGAACTAATTTTCAATACTTTTATGTGCATTATCATACACAAACACACACACGCATAAACAAATACACCTACATCTAATTTACCTATTGGCTGGACCAATATAACTATGCTCTATATGTATATATGGCTATGCGACTTATGTATGTAGGCCCAATTGGTCATTGCCTGCCGACAACAACAACCACACCGACACCTGAACAAGCAACCCCAACAACACCAACAACAACAACAACAAGAACAACGCTAATCACAAACCCAGCTATTCCCACAATTGCAACAACAACTTATACTACCACCAAAAAACCTTCAATAACCAACACAACAAGAACAGCAACAGCCACAACAACAACAACAGAAAATAAACAAAACAAACAACAACAACAACAATTAGCACAAAACCAACGCTCGGCCTCCCTGAATGCATGTCCCCAAGAAAATTGCTTGAACGGTGGCACCTGCCTAGGATATAGTAACAATTATACCTGTATATGTGCTAGTGGATACACAGGTTTGGCAACAACAACTACCACAAAGGGTTGCACTGCAAGTCCTTTAACTATCATAGTATACAAACTAAATATTTAACGTGAATGAATTAATTGTAGTCGAATTTGAAATGTAGAACTTTCGCTTGAATGAGCTGCTTAACCTCTGCAACTTGTAGTGCAACCCTCGATATATTAACTGTAAATATAAATATATATATATAGACTGAATAGTATTTAGTATTCTATTGCATTATATTAACTGTAAATATATTTTACTTAGATCTAATAGTAGAGCTTAGATACAGTTGGCAAAGAAAGCAAATCTAATATTAAAATTTAATTTCGATATTCAGGTTACAATTGTCAGCAGAGCACGGGCGATGGCGCCAACGCCTTGGCCTTGACGCCCATCAACTGCAATGCCACGAAYGGCAAATGCCTGAATGGCGGCACCTGCTCAATGAATGGCACCCATTGTTACTGTGCCGTTGGCTACTCGGGCGACCGCTGCGAGAAGGGGGAGAACTGTTCGCCACTCAACTGCCAGGAGCCGATGGTCTGCGCCCAGAACCAGTGCATCTGCCCGGAGAACAAGGTGTGCAACCAGTGCGCCACACAGCCCTGCCAGAATGGCGGCGAGTGCCTCGACCTGCCCAACGGCGACTACGAGTGCAAATGCCAGCGGGGCTGGACGGGTCGCAACTGTGCCAACGATGTGGACGAGTGCATGCTGCAGCCGAAGATCTGCGGCAACGGCATTTGCAAGAACGAGAAGGGCTCCTACAAGTGCTACTGCACGCCCGGATTCACGGGCATCCACTGTGACTCCGAYGTGGACGAGTGCCTCAGCCATCCGTGCCTGCACGGCGCCACATGCCACAACAAGGTAAGTGTTTCGAAACGATCTCCATGGCACAGAAGAGTCGCCAGTTACTAAAATGTGATTAGTTGTTCTTCTTTAAATACGGAAAGCATCGGATATTGAGACAAGTGAGTGGGGCATTACGGGTCTATGTGCGATCGGAAAATATAAATAGCTATAGAACTTTTAAGCTTATAAAGCGAGCCAATCTTAAAATTGCAAGCTGCTCTTAAGGAATTTATCATATAACAATTTCCCCAGCAAACACGAAATATAATCACATTAAATTTGATAGAGAACATACAACAAATCTTAGTCCCCATGAATTAAATTAAAACTTAATTTGAAATGTTCATAGACTTATTTTCCTTATCTGATAGTCACTGCTTATTGTTCTCCTTAGTCTATTGCTTATATAACCCATCAGATGCAATCAGAGTTCCTATATTTGTAGCTTAGACATAATCTCCAACAATTTTCCCCATTATAATTTAATTGTCTCTTCCATTTCCACACTTAGATGCAAAATTGCTTTAAATAGATGTGATTAGTGATACGACTTAGAAACAAATTATTATTATTATATATGATCTAAGTATATATGTATATATTTATTGTCCTCAATTTGCAATGAATATTACCTCATTAAAAATAATTTGTTATATATTATTCATTTGATAAAAGAATATTTATATATCTGCTAAAAATAAATTAAAAATAATTAAGAGCTAGCTTATCCCATTTAAAATTGAAAGCAATTCTGTGATTGATTCCCTATAGTAGTTAATATTCCAATTACTATGTACATAAAATAAATGAAAATCTATTAAAAAGCCTAATCCAAAGAAATAGTTTGCCTTTGCAAAACTTTTATTGATAAACAATATTCAATGCTCTTCATCCAAACAAGATCAATGCTTACGAATGCGACTGCAAGCCGGGCTACCAGGGAGAGAACTGTGAAATCGATATAGACGAGTGCATCAGCAATCCATGCTCGAACGGCTCCACTTGCATTGACATGATTAACAATTTCACGTGCTCCTGCATACCCGGCATGACGGGACGGATCTGTGACATTGACATCGATGACTGTGTCTCGGCGCCCTGCCTCAACAATGGCCTCTGCATCGACGAGCTGGGTGGCTTCCATTGCGACTGCGGTGGCACCGGCTACGAGGGCAAGAACTGTGAGCTGAACATTGATGAATGCGTGTCGAATCCCTGCACGAACGGCGCCAAGTGCATTGATCAGGTGAAGGACTATTTCTGCGAATGCCATGCGGGCTACAAGGGCAAGAACTGTGAGCAAGACGTCAATGAGTGCGAGAGCAATCCCTGCCAGTACAACAGCAGCTGCTTGGAGCGCTCCAACTCCACGCTGTATCAGCTGAGCAGGGTCATGGACTTGCCGCGAGTGTTTAGTCAGCCCTTCAGCTATGAGAATGCCAGCGGGTAAGTCCAGAAAGTGAAGCAAAATAACCAAACTGAATAATAAAATATACTGTCTAATTATACAGCTATGAATGTGTGTGCGTACCGGGCATCATAGGCAAAAACTGTGAGATCAACATCAACGAATGCGAGAGTAATCCCTGCACGAAGCATGGCACCTGCAATGACGGAGTAAGTGCATGCAATCAAATATAAAAAAAAACTCTCATTTAACCCATATACTATCTATCTATCAGATCGGCACCTATACCTGTGAGTGCGATCCGGGCTTTGAGGGCACCCACTGTGAGATTAACATTGACGAATGCGATCGCTATAATCCCTGTCACAATGGCACCTGCATCGACCAGATTAACGACTACGATTGCGACTGCGACGCCAACTTCGGGGGCAAGAATTGCTCGGTGCCGTTGATTGGCTGCATCAGTGGACCCTGTCTGAATGGCGGCACCTGTCATCCCTTCCTGGTGAACGAAACAATACACTTATTCAACTGCTCCTGCGAGCATGGCTTCCAGGGCGACACCTGTGAGAAGACCACGACGCTCTCAATGGTTGTCAGCAGCCTGATAACGGTGAAGACGCAACGCGACGAGGGCTACGACATCAATTTGCAATTCAAAACTACGCTGCCAAATGGCGTGCTCGCCTTCGGCACATCCGGCGGACAGAACGAACCGGTTAGCTATATCCTGGAGCTGATCAATGGACGCCTAAATCTGCACTCTTCGCTTCTGAACAAATGGGAAGGTGTGTTCATTGGCTCCAAGCTGAACGACAGCAATTGGCACAAAGTGTTTGTGGCTATAAACACCTCACACCTTGTGCTGTCCGCCAACGATGAGCAGGCCATCTATCCGGTGGGCTCCTACGAGACGGCCAACAACAGCCAGCCCTCGTTTCCGCTGACTTATCTGGGCGGCACCATACCCAACTTGAAGTCTTATCTGCGGCACTTGACGCATCAGCCCTCCAGCTTCGTGGGCTGCATGCAGGATGTTGTCGTCAATGGCAAATGGATCTTCCCCGACGAGCAGAACGATGAAGATACGGACAGTGAGAGTACGAAGCTGTCGTACGTTCAGAGCGGCTGTCCCCGCACGGAGCAATGCAAACCAAATCCATGTCACTCGAATGGCGAGTGCACAGATCTGTGGCACACCTTCGCCTGTCACTGTCCCAGACCGTTCTTTGGGCATACGTGCCAGCACAGTAAGTGAACGCGTACCCAATGATCCCAATAAATGCTGGGAATAACATTGACTCTTGTCTGCTACCTCATTAGATATGACCGCTGCAACGTTTGGACACGAGAATACGACGCACTCGGCTGTGATTGTGGAGACGACAGACGTAGCCAGACGTGCCATACGCTCTATTTTGGACATATCCATGTTTATACGCACGCGCGAGCCCACGGGCCAGGTCTTCTACTTGGGCAGCGATCCCCGCAAGATGCCAACAAAGAGTGAGTATCTCAATATGCATAAAAGGAATGCTAATCTAAAATCTTATTTTCACTCAGACGTTGGCGACTCGTATGTGTCAGCTAAACTGCATGGCGGCGAGCTGCTGGTGAAAATGCAGTTTAATGGCACGCCGGAAGCGTACACGGTGGGTGGACAGAAGCTGGACAATGGGTACAATCATCTGATTGAGGTGGTGCGCAATCAGACCCTGGTGCAGGTCAAGCTCAATGGTACCGAGTACTTCCGCAAGACGCTGTCGACGACAGGTCTGCTGGATGCACAGGTGCTTTACTTGGGTGGTCCGGCGCCAACACGCGAATCCCTGCTGCCAGCCAGCACTGAGCCGGGTCTAGACGAGACTAGCGTGGCCGTTAGTAGCACGGCGGCCAAGGACATGGACGACAGCAAGGACTACTTCAAGGGCATCATTCAGGATGTGAAAGTGAGCAATGGCTCCCTCAACATGATCGTCGAGATGTATCCCCTGAATGTGACCGATGTGAATGTGAACGCCAAGCCATTTGGAGCCGTCACCATTGACCGCACCTCGGTGCTGCAGGGCGAAGTATCCGACGACTTGTGCCGCAAGAATCCGTGTAAGCACAATGCCGAGTGCCGGAACACATGGAACGACTACAGCTGTAAATGCCCGAATGGTTACAAGGGCAAGGACTGTCAGGAGATTGAATTCTGTCAGCTGGTTCCCTGTCCCGGCGGCAGCGTCTGTCAGAATCTGGACGATGGCTACGAATGCCTAACCAATATCACATTCACTGGTCTGGAACATTCGCCACTGGCCTTCTCCTACTTCAAGGAACAGCTGCCAGATGAGATTGGCGTGACGAAGCAGCCGCTGCTGAAGCCGGTCATTGAGATTGCCTATCGCACGCGAGCCGGCGGCACTCTTCTCTTCATTGACAACCAGGATAGCTTCTTTGAAATTGGCGTCAATGGGGGTCGGGTCACTGTTACATGGAAACTGACGCAGTTGCACATCGGTGAGTCCGGACGCTTTGAGAAGGATAATACGGATGGCGAATGGAGCCGCATTTACTTGCGTGCGCACGGTGGTAAACTGGAAGGTGGGTGGAAGGGCTGGGAATCGATGGTGGATCCCACGCCCNGCGATCGCTATAATCCCTGTCACAATGGCACCTGCATCGACCAGATTAACGACTACGATTGCGACTGCGACGCCAACTTCGGGGGCAAGAATTGCTCGGTGCCGTTGATTGGCTGCATCAGTGGACCCTGTCTGAATGGCGGCACCTGTCATCCCTTCCTGGTGAACGAAACAATACACTTATTCAACTGCTCCTGCGAGCATGGCTTCCAGGGCGACACCTGTGAGAAGACCACGACGCTCTCAATGGTTGTCAGCAGCCTGATAACGGTGAAGACGCAACGTGACGAGGGCTACGACATCAATTTGCAATTCAAAACTACGCTGCCAAATGGCGTGCTCGCCTTCGGCACATCCGGCGGACAGAACGAACCGGTTAGCTATATCCTGGAGCTGATCAATGGACGCCTAAATCTGCACTCTTCGCTTCTGAACAAATGGGAAGGTGTGTTCATTGGCTCCAAGCTGAACGACAGCAATTGGCACAAAGTGTTTGTGGCTATAAACACCTCACACCTTGTGCTGTCCGCCAACGATGAGCAGGCCATCTATCCGGTGGGCTCCTACGAGACGGCCAACAACAGCCAGCCCTCGTTTCCGCTGACTTATCTGGGCGGCACCATACCCAACTTGAAGTCTTATCTGCGGCACTTGACGCATCAGCCCTCCAGCTTCGTGGGCTGCATGCAGGATGTTGTCGTCAATGGCAAATGGATCTTCCCCGACGAGCAGAACGATGAAGATACGGACAGTGAGAGTACGAAGCTGTCGTACGTTCAGAGCGGCTGTCCCCGCACGGAGCAATGCAAACCAAATCCATGTCACTCGAATGGCGAGTGCACAGATCTGTGGCACACCTTCGCCTGTCACTGTCCCAGACCGTTCTTTGGGCATACGTGCCAGCACAGTAAGTGAACGCGTACCCAATGATCCCAATAAATGCTGGGAATAACATTGACTCTTGTCTGCTACCTCATTAGATATGACCGCTGCAACGTTTGGACACGAGAATACGACGCACTCGGCTGTGATTGTGGAGACGACAGACGTAGCCAGACGTGCCATACGCTCTATTTTGGACATATCCATGTTTATACGCACGCGCGAGCCCACGGGCCAGGTCTTCTACTTGGGCAGCGATCCCCGCAAGATGCCAACAAAGAGTGAGTATCTCAATATGCATAAAAGGAATGCTAATCTAAAATCTTATTTTCACTCAGACGTTGGCGACTCGTATGTGTCAGCTAAACTGCATGGCGGCGAGCTGCTGGTGAAAATGCAGTTTAATGGCACGCCGGAAGCGTACACGGTGGGTGGACAGAAGCTGGACAATGGGTACAATCATCTGATTGAGGTGGTGCGCAATCAGACCCTGGTGCAGGTCAAGCTCAATGGTACCGAGTACTTCCGCAAGACGCTGTCGACGACAGGTCTGCTGGATGCACAGGTGCTTTACTTGGGTGGTCCGGCGCCAACACGCGAATCCCTGCTGCCAGCCAGCACTGAGCCGGGTCTAGACGAGACTAGCGTGGCCGTTAGTAGCACGGCGGCCAAGGACATGGACGACAGCAAGGACTACTTCAAGGGCATCATTCAGGATGTGAAAGTGAGCAATGGCTCCCTCAACATGATCGTCGAGATGTATCCCCTGAATGTGACCGATGTGAATGTGAACGCCAAGCCATTTGGAGCCGTCACCATTGACCGCACCTCGGTGCTGCAGGGCGAAGTATCCGACGACTTGTGCCGCAAGAATCCGTGTAAGCACAATGCCGAGTGCCGGAACACATGGAACGACTACAGCTGTAAATGCCCGAATGGTTACAAGGGCAAGGACTGTCAGGAGATTGAATTCTGTCAGCTGGTTCCCTGTCCCGGCGGCAGCGTCTGTCAGAATCTGGACGATGGCTACGAATGCCTAACCAATATCACATTCACTGGTCTGGAACATTCGCCACTGGCCTTCTCCTACTTCAAGGAACAGCTGCCAGATGAGATTGGCGTGACGAAGCAGCCGCTGCTGAAGCCGGTCATTGAGATTGCCTATCGCACGCGAGCCGGCGGCACTCTTCTCTTCATTGACAACCAGGATAGCTTCTTTGAAATTGGCGTCAATGGGGGTCGGGTCACTGTTACATGGAAACTGACGCAGTTGCACATCGGTGAGTCCGGACGCTTTGAGAAGGATAATACGGATGGCGAATGGAGCCGCATTTACTTGCGTGCGCACGGTGGTAAACTGGAAGGTGGGTGGAAGGGCTGGGAATCGATGGTGGATCCCACGCCCGGTTTCTCCACGGACATAGATCAGGCAGCATTCCAGGAGCTGCTCTCCAGCAGCACACAAGTCTATTTGGGCGGCATGCCTGAGTCGCGTCAACTACGTGGCTCCACGCAATCCTCGCAGCAGGGATCCCAGTTCAAGGGCTGCGTGGGTGAGGCGCGCGTTGGCGATTTGCTGCTGCCCTACTTCTCTAATGCCGAACTGTATCCACACACTGAGAACGTGTCCGTGCAGCTGCAGGCGCAGTTCCGCCTCAACTCGACCMGGCCCGAGGAAGGCTGCATTCTGTGCTTCCAAGTGGACTGCAAGAACAACGGTTTCTGCAATGCGCCAACCGAGGAGTACGCATGCACCTGCCCAGCGGGCTACGAGGGCGACGACTGCGGCACAGACATTGACGAGTGCCTCAACACCAACTGCGAAAATAATGCCACCTGCATCAACCTTGTAGCCGATTTCCACTGCAAGTGCTTGCCCGGCTTCGAGGGTCGCTACTGTGAACAGAACATTGACGAGTGTGCAGGCCAGCCCTGTCACAATGGCGGCAACTGCACGGATCTGATTGCTGCCTACCGCTGCGACTGCCCCGACGAGTACACGGGTCCGCAGTGCAACGCTCTCAAGCAGATGACCTGCGAGAATGAGCCCTGTCGCAATGGGTCCGGCTGCGAGAATGGATTTAGTGAGTATCTAAGGTTTAAGTTATTTACTTCTAAATCTAAACCATTCTCCACTTTACAGATGCTCAAACCGGAAATAACTTTACCTGCACTTGCTCTATGGGCTTTGAAGGTGCACTCTGTGACACGCCCTTCTGCGATCTGACTCCCTGCCTCAATGGAGGTCTTTGTCTGACTACAGATGGCGTAAGTGCTTACTAATTAATGTTTAATATATTAACTATAATATTTTGTAAATATTCATTTACAGATACCTAATTGCAAATGCAGCCTGGGCTACACGGGGCGCCTTTGCGAGGAGGAGATCGACGAATGCGCCTCCAATCCCTGCATGAATGGCGGCAAGTGTCACGACCTTGTGGGTGACTATGAATGCGACTGTCAGTCTACTGGCTTCGATGGCGTGCATTGTGAAAACGATATAAACGAATGCATCCAGGAAGTGAACTACTGTGGTGAGCTCGGGCGCTGCATAAATATGCCGGGTAGCTTCAAGTGCATTTGCCAGAAGCCCCACTGTGGCGCCTT